ACTTTTAAATCTTCTTCTCCTATTGAATTAGTTATTTCTAATGTATGGGGACCTTCCCCTTATCTTTCTAATAATGGGTACCAGTACTATGTCAATTTTATTGATCATTTTTCCCGTTTCACATGGCTTTATCCTCTTACTTGCAAAAAGGATGTGTTTTACTACATTTCTTCATTTTCAACGCCATGCTGAAAATCTTTTTGAACGCAAAATCAATTTTTTTTCAAAGTGACTAGGGAGGGAGAGTTTAGGCGGCTATCTAAGAATCTTAATGAGTGTGGTATCTCTCACCGAGTTTCCTATCCACATACACATCAACAAAACGGTGTTGTTGAACGCAAGCACCACCATATAATAGAATCCACCTTGGCTCTCCTCAGTCATGCTTCCCTTCCAATGTGTTTTTGGCATGACACAGTTCATTGTGTCGTGTTTCTAATCAATCACCTTCTGCTGTTTTCAATGGTCTTTCCCCGTATGAGGTGTTATTTGGGCGCCCACTTGACTATTCCATGCTGCAAACCTTTGGTTGCACTTGTTACCCTCTGTTAAGTCCCTATAATTAGCATAAATTTCAATATCATTCTGGTCGGTTTGTGTTCCTTGGTTACAGTGCTATGCATAAGGGATATCGTTGCTACTTACCCTCTACAGGTCGGATTGTTGTCTCATGCCATGTACAGTTTGATGAGACTCACTTCCCATATACTGCTATCTCTCCAACAGTTGATTCTTCATCATCCAATATTGGCGTTACAATCACAATTCATGTTTCTAGGACTCACACGCTATCTCACAATATTGAGTCCACTTCAGCGGTAAGGAACGACAACCATCTCTCACATGGGCCCACTACCCTAGCAGCTGACCCACCATTGGCTTCATCTCAGCAAGCTATACCATCCAATGATTATGGACTCTCATCTCTAGCAACGTTTCAGCCTGCCATGTTGTCCACTGATTCTAGACCTTCATCCCCAGTAGTTGTACCAGCCGATATTGGGCCCTCTTAGTCATCTTCTGGGCCCATAGACTCTCATGATGATGACTCCTCACCTCGCAAAATTCTGCCGCTCTATGATATTCTCCAACGGGTTGTTGTCTCTCTAGATGTCGATCCTCCCACTCGGCCTCCCCCTCGGTGCTCCTTTCACCACCTTCATGAATTCCACCTCTCTGAAGCTGCTCCTATTGAACCCACCTCCTACATAGTCGCAACTCGCAAAGAAATAGCCTCAGTGGCAATCAACAATGCAAGCTGAATATGATGCCTTGATGAAGAATGACACTTGGTTGTTGGTACTAGCTCCATCTCATGTTAATATTATGGACTGTAAATGGATTTTCAAGGTGAAAAAGAACACAAATGGCTCCCTGGCCTGCTACAAGGCCCGCTTGGTAGCCAGAGGCTTCACTCAGTAATATGGGCTTGATTACATAGACACTTTCTGCCCAGTTATCAAGCCAATGACTATATGGGCTGTTTTGTCAATTGCCTCTCAAACAATTAGCCCATTAGGCACCTAGATGTTCACAACACCTTCCTTCATGGGATTTTGACTGAAGATATTTACATGGCACAACCACCCGGTTTTGTTAATGGTCATCATCCCAACTATGTGTGTAAACTTCGTAAGGCGTTATATTTGCTTAAACAGGCCCCCAGAGCCTGGTTCTTTCGATTATGCTCTCATCTATTTCAGTTGGGCTTTCAGGGGCCTTCTTGTGATCCTTCRTTGTTTTTGTTTCACTCTAATGGGCTCACTCTTTATGTGCTTGTGTATGTTAATGACACCATTGTTACAAGTAACCAGCCCTCAACGGTCCAAAAACTTATTGATGATCTCTCACATAGCTTTTCTATTAAAGATCTTGGGGACCTTCATTACTTCCTGGGTATTCAAGTTCAGTGCACTCCATCCAGCTTGTTCCTCTCACAGCACCAATACATCCTGGATCTTCTTTAGAAGGCGCATCTTACCGACGCCAAACTTATGCCTACTCCTCTAGCTCTCAACTACAAACTCTCCAAGAATGATGGTGATCCACTGCCTGATCCAACAAACTACAGGAGTATAGTTGGCTCCCTTTAATATGCTACTATTACACGGCTTGATGTGGCCTATGTAGTTAATAAGATCTATCAGTTCCTCTCAGCTCCCACCACTACTCACTAGAGTGCTGCCAAATGCATCTTGTGTTATCTGAAAGGGACTCTCGACTATGGTCTATGTTTAAAGCCTTCACAATCATCTCAATTGCAAGCCTATACCGACTCCGATTAGGTCGGGTGCCTAGATGATCATAGATTCACTAGTGGGTTTGCTCTCTTCCTTGGAACCAACCTCATCTCATGGAGTGCCAATAAGCAACTCACCGTTGCACGCTCTAGCGTGGAACCTGAACTTTGTGCCCTCGCCACTACAGTTACAGAAATGATTTCAATTCGACACCTTCTAAAAGAGCTTCACATCTCATTGGGGTCTCCTCCTGTTATCTGGTGTGATAATGTTGGGGCACTCTACCTCAGTGCCAACCCGATGTTCAAGGCATGTACCAAACACGTGGAAGTTGACTTCCACTTTGTTTGTGATCTGGTACTACAACGTGCACTCTCCCTTCAATATGCCAATAAAAATTCTGCTTGCTGATGTATTCACAAAGAGTCTACATCACTCTTGTTTTAGTTCTTTCCGAGACAAGCTGAATGTGTGTGCCCCAGTTCAGCTTGAGGGGGCATGTAAGCGAGATAATATTTATCCTCGCCATAACTCAAATTTGTGATAGACTCAGTCCCATGTATTCTATTCTATCTAGAATTCTTGTATCTTATCATTTTATCTCTTATCTCTTGTAATCTACTTATCCCTTATCTCTATTGTAATCCACATCAACATATATATATATATATACTTGACTTGGGATCACACTAGCATTGTGTGTTGAACCCTTTCTTTCATATTCTTGCATTCTAGTTTCAGCCACGAGGGAGGTGGGTTTGTATGGGAAATGAAAGGATTCTTAGACAAAGCTGAAAAACAACTCAAGGCACTGGATTTTGTGACAGAAACAGTAGAGTATTACCACGCAAAATCTTCAAGGGGGCTTACCTACTTTAGTTATTTATTATAATCAAATATTTTCTAGGCATGGTTGATCAAGTATGCATTGACATTGCTYAGGATTTGTAGAATAAGAAGACAGTAAGCACCAATACATCACCACTAATGTCACTGATAAAGAAGATTATAGTTAGGTTCCCAAAATTCCATGGTCGTATACAGTCCAGATCTCATACTCATGCCATTTCAGAGGTTTGAGATATGAGATCTGGACTAAACACCACAACTCAGACTCAGAGCTTAGTTGGGTTGTATCTGGCTAGATATCTCAAACCTCCAGAGTGGTATGAGTCTGATACAACATATTTGAGACTCGGACTCATGCTACACATTGCAACAAATACAGTCCAGATCTTAGACCTCCACTTCGGAGATCCAACTCATGCTGCACATCACTCGAGATCTCGGACTTGGGACTTAGTTAATTGATCTGCACATTGCAACTTAGACTCATGCCACTCTTGTCGATTCAATATTGAACATTCAAAACTGGGGAGGACGGTAAGAGAAAGGATAGAAACAAGGAAGAAGGAGTTTTTCTCTTAATGGCAAAAAGGACATTTCATTCTTTTCCATTATGATTAATGGCAATAGCAATTGTCAAAAACAGTAGGGGTGGTTTAAGATAATAGTTAAATAGTAAGGGTAGAGTTAGTTAATTCGCAAAATAGTAGGAATAGTTTAAGAAATTTGCGTCAAAAGAGAGAGATGATAAATCTTCTCGTGAGTGACTCAATCAATGCAGCTCAATCAACACTAAAGCCCTGCTAAATGATCCCCTGTATAATTTCTCATTAGAACTGTAAGTAAATTGCAATAAATCCAAAAAGGACTTCTCATGGAGAGAGAGAGAGAACAAATACTAGTAATGCTTTGAATAGAATAACAAACCAATGATTTAAAAACCGACCTAGAACTAGAATCGTTTTGGCCACTGGTTTCTGGATAAATGGTTTGACCATCCACATCGAATGGATGGCTTGTTCCAATTTAAAAAATAAAAATAAATAAKGGTCAAAAACCATTATCTGGATCAAATGGGTTGATGGTCCAACTGCCAAGGCCAGTGGGTCGCTGACCAAATCAATGGTTTTTGACAATAACATGTTAAGGGTGAAACAGAATCAATTGCCTAAACGGTTTTTGGGTCAAATGATCTGACCGTCCGAATCAAGATGGTTCGAAAACACTGCAATAAACCAGTGATGGCGCAATCGCACTAGAAGTAGAAACTCGCTCCAGCTTCACAATCGGAAGGGTCGGACTCGGACGATCCATCCGAGATTTGATTCCGACAACAGAATTTCGTAACGATATTAACGGTCGAATGCGAAGGCGCAGATGTGCCAACGGTATTGGCGCCCACAGTGCCAACTAACAGAAAACTTTCCCGCGCCCCGCCCAAAGAAAAGGTGCCATCTGACGGACACGATTACGTCGTGCGTCTGTGCGTACACGTTAGACAGAACCAGCCAGAGATCTATTCAAAGAAGTAAGAACCAAGGAAATAAAAATGTCAACTGACTATTGTGCGCCTCCCCGTCCTCGTAGGCTAGCGATGGCGTGGGCGCAATACGCCCTCAGCTTCCACTCTTCACCTTCCGTTGTTCACCGTACTGGTATCATCGTTAACGGGAGAGCCCTAGCCCTAGCTTCTGCTTCGTCTCCTACTCCATCTAAACTTACAAAGAGAAAGAATTATTTGCGCCCTAAGCTTTTGAAAACCCTAACGAAATCCCATCCTACACCTCTACTTCCCCATGAAGCCCTAGAAAACCCTAGAAGTATCACCGAAACCGTAGAAAACCTTCAGCATCTATGCGAAACCCTAGAAATTGTACATGAACAGGAGCTCGAGATTTATTCTGATCGAAGTCTTGGAGAAGTTTTTGGTGATATTGTCGAAGAAGTAAATGAGAAAAATGACACACAGAAGGAGTTGGATTCTGAGGGTCTTAATGTTTCTCAAATTGCCGATAACGGAGTTTCTGGTGGTGTTGGTGTTATTTCTTCGAGGTCGGTACTTGAACTTGCTTTCTATGTCGTCGGCCTTTTCGTGTTGCAGACCATATGTGCTGTTTGGGTATTGGGACCTACCAGTTTCGGCAGGGAGACTACGAATGGGGAAGAAGAGGCCGAGGCGGCTCGATTAGGGGTTTCGGAATCTGAAGTGAGGAATGGGAAGAGAATGGAGGGTTATTCATTGAATAGAAATAATGGAGTCCTTGAAAATTTGTTTGGCTCTAAGCCCAGTAGCGTCATTCATATAGATAAATCCCAAATCTTAGAGAAAATTGTTGAAATTAGGGCTATGGCAAAGGAAGCTAGAGAAAGTGAGGCAAGGGAGTTGAGGGCAAGTGGTTTGGCCTCGTCTTCGGATGTAATTGGTGATGGTGCCGATTCAGTTCCTGCTGAAACTGCTAGTTCTACAGTTAAAACCAACATACAGAAAGAGGTAGATGGGCGCATATTTAAGTTACAAAAGAGGCTCCATTCTCTTCGGGAGAACTCTCCATTGGCTTCATTTAGTTATTTGACTAGTTCGGATAAGGTTAAAGATATGACTAACTCAGAGGCTTCTAATGCCAACAAAAAGTCTGGGAATTTTGTGTTTAAGAAAAAGCGCAGGTTTAGAAGCTCTCCATCCAGCCCTGGAAATAATCCCCAGGGATTTCAGGGTCCAAAAGATAACAGTGTTCCTACTGGAATTGGTAGAAAAGTTGCAACTATAGATCCATTGAGTAATGCTTTAGATTTATCAGGTGGAGAACAGAAGATAGACATAACAAATGGTGCTTCTCAAGAAAGTACTTCCATGAACATAGAGAAAATGCATTATAATGCTTTAGGAGAAACTATTCACGAGGTGAAGGAAAACAAAGAAGCAAGAAGAGAGCCATTTAACAACGAGTCAAGTTCCATGCAATCTGTTAGGAAGAAATTGGAGAATTCAAGAAGGGAGATGGCAATGGGCATTGAGAATTCTAAAACCATGAAAGGTAAGGCTCTTAAATGTCCTTGCATGTGCAAAATATATGGTCAGAGTTTCTTTAATAATTACTTAATTAGCCATCCGGTCATGCCTTTTTTTGCTTGATGAGATTCCTTTTTTGCTTTACAATTATTTCTTGTTACTTATGCAAAGTGAGGATGTTGCTTGCGCTTTAGTTTCCAATTTACTATATACATCTCAAGTTCATTCTGAATATTAGATTCTCAAATTCTTAACTTCTTTATTCCAGTTGCATCTACTTAACATAAGATTCTCTTTTCCTTGAAAGAAGAACCTATAACAAGCCGCCTTAGTATTGCTGCCTTACTCAGGAATATAAAGGACAAAAGATTCTTTTCTCCTTGAAACACAGTCTGTTCCACCCTCTGTTGAAACTACAGGACACCTTCCATTTGTATAGGAGTTCTACCACTAAAACAATATGACTTTTAGCAAACGAAATTACTTTAGGAGAAGTTTTTTTTTTTTTTTGGAAGAGAGAGAACTCCCTGCAGAACATGTAGAAAGCATGCCTTAAAAGAATAAATAATATAAATAAATTCAATTAAACAGATTTGGCATCCAAAATCTAGCTTGACTCTGGGATTTTGGGAAGTGGGTTTTGGCAGAATAACCAGAATATCAATATGAAAACTCTACAGTTTTTATATGAATGACCTGGAACTCAGGTTATGATCCCAGTTCTGCTTGCACTTTTTTCCTGCACTTACTGCACTGAGCAATCAGTGTGTGACAGGTATCCAGGACTTAATGTAAAACCCAGTTACTCTCAGATGCATGGGTCTTTACATGTGTAATGGAACACCTGTCACAAACTGATTGCTTGGTGCAACAAATAAAAAGTTCAGAAGATCCTAACTTTAAAATTATATGGGATTTTTCAGGGTTGGACTTTAGCATCTAGATTCATCCATAAAAGAAAAAGGTTTTGGAAGACTACTGAAATTTCCTCTTCATTGTTTTCCACATGGCTGATATTTGTAAGTCTTCATTAACCAAAATCAACACTGTGATCTTTCAATGCTCAATAGTATTTAGTCATCATTTACCAAAAAAAAAAAAAGGTACCTAGTCAACTAAGAATATTTTTGGTCAAGAGCCCAACTTTTGAGATTTTTTTAGTAGTCATGTGATGCACTGTGTAGCAGCTCGTAAGAATTTATTTGATGGACACATGAAGTAATTGATGGACATATGAAGCAACTCAATCTACTAAACTTGTCTACCGCCTGGATTCCTGTTATGTCTGCAGATTCATGAAAATGACAAAAAAAAGGCAGGAAAAAAAATGTCCATGTATTTCCCAATATTTCAATTTCCATGGTCATTGACACGAAATACTAATGGAATCATCATATTTCCACAGTGAAAACTATCATCACCATGTGAAGTACATGAGATGGTATTATAACATGTGAATTGGCAACAATATTGTAGGCGTGTTGAATAACAGTGTTATTGTCCACCTTATGGAAATGATGGCCACTTTGAACTGGGGGAAAATTCTAGTTGGTTGTGAAACTAAATCTTAGTATTTGTTTGTGCAACTGGTTATTTGGTTGATCTATTAGAATCATTTGCACTTTCTGTGAGTTTAAGTTTTGCTTGAACTTATTCTATTATATAGTTTTAACTCTTAAAGTCTACAAGGGAACTCTATAGTGTATTATTTTGTCTATTAACCTTAATTTCTTGGCTTTATTTGATGGTTTGGAACAAGATTATAATCTAGAAGTGTGCAGCTATACTTCTTTTGTCATTTCATAAAATATCATTGTACACCACATATTTAACAATGTTTCTACCATGTCTAGAATCTTTACAATGTTTCCATCTGACATTTCCAACATGTTTCTTCTCATATTTGGATTGCCGATATCTCCACTAACACCTACATTTTAAACCATGCTTGAGAATCAAGGTTAGAAACCACCAACTTGTATGTGAATGGTTGGAGACAACATTTCTGCAATTTTTGTCAGGCCATAATATCAATTTATATGAACTTAAACAAACAATATTACCTTCACAAGAAGACCAAATAAATAGACGTAAAATAGGGATTCTGACTATGTTTTTTTCTCGCCCCCTCCCCTCCCAAATGTCACAGGTTCTTAACAATAGATATAGTGTATTATGAAATCTGGGCATGACCCACATTCTGGAGTTTGGACTAGTTGCATGGTAGAAACTATAGCAATGATTCAAAAAATGAATTAAAATTTAGAGAAAGATGGCAATAAAATTAAAAGAAGTGGAAAGAACAGAAAAAAAAAGTATAACATTGGCAGTGAAAATATGGACAGTGAATCTTAGAGATGCACCTGCATGTGGTTGAGATGAAATGATACAAGTATTGAAACACCTTTGGAATGAATCAGGCATACACTGTTTTGACATAATTCTGCAAGAATCAGAGGGCAATCATGGTTTCTAACCTTGTATATGTGATGGAGCTACAGTTGCCATTTTCTACTTTTTGTGTTTCCAATTAGCATGTTTTCCTAGATGTTTTTGATTGGAAGCCTCATGGACAAAATCTTTTTACTCATAAACACCAAAAGTGTCATATGGAAACAATTATGGAGTTGCATGTCTTCATATGAGATTTTACATCAGACTCTTTTGATTCCATCTAGGCCAATAAATAGCTAGTTTTGTAATCATTTTGTTGTTCCTTCTCTTCCTCTCCTCTTCACCATCCGTCTATTAAATAGATTACTATCTATTGGAACCTGCAATATGTCAAGCTATGGACCAGTGCACCACTTTTTTCCTTTTATTTGTTACCATGGGATGTTGCATGCTTTCTTTTCTTGAAAATAAGGGTTTGGTTACAATTTGTTCTATTATAAAGGATATAAATATGATAATTATCTGGACAGATTTTAGTTATTCCTTGATTTTCCAGGTGACATTCAAGAGATTAATTGTAAAAGATCAGTTGAGTCAGCACAGCTAAGTGAATCAGCTAGGCCAAAGAGACAAATTTCTCGAAGCTTTACAAAAGAGAACAAGGACACTTCCACAATAACATATACGAAGGTCCCATTGAATAGTAGTGGCAGTTCAAGAATGCTTCTACAAAATGGAGAAATCGAACAAAAACGAATCGTCAAAAATAGGCCATCAGATATTGAGAATGACTTGTGGTCGCTGAACCTCCCTTATGTACTAGTATGTGAATCGGGCACATATTGACTTTGATTGACTTCTCCAATAATATGATTTTACTTGCATAAATAAGTCAATGAAATTGGATTCTACCTCATCATTCCTTATGCACTAGTATGTAAATGAGTAAATCAGCTGCATAATCACTGATTGACTTTTCCGGTTATATGATTTTACTTGCACAAATAAGTCAAAGAAATTGGATTCTAACCTCATCATTCTTGGTGATTTAGTTCAGCAAGAAGGGATATTTGTGCTAGGTAACATGCTATAATACAACATTCTGAAATCCAGACCAGACAGGACAATAGAGCTGTTTGAATGTCAGCTCATCTCTACAGTGACAGTCTACACTGGATTGGGTCAATGTCTGATCTGCAAGGCAGTTGATTTGGTCAAATAATATTTATTTTATTTATAAGATAATATGAGAATATTTGGAGATGATGGTTTTGGTTACCCATATTTCTCTTTGGGTTTGCCTTTTCTTTATTTCTCTGTTTTTGGTACTTTTTTATTTTCATTTCTTTTAGCCCCACAGGTCAGACTGTCCAATGACTTCAACAATGAACTGCCAGCTTTATCACTTCAGTATCCAGTCCACATGCTCTTTGATCTTGGTTTCGTGTTGAATGAATCTAACAGATTTCCACCATGTCATCTGAGGCATTGAAGTAGTTAGTGAACTTATGCAGCTTAATTTAATAAATTGTAGCCCTAAGTTCTGCCTGATGAATGTCTAAACCATCTAGTCAACTGCAATTCTTTATAAAGATAATTGGATGATGTGAGTCATTTGCTTAGGTCGATTTTCAAGCTAAGCTATTTCTGTAGTTCCAGGCCCCATTTCATCCCTCCTTAAGTTAATCAATAAAATTCCCATTCTCTACCAAAAAAAATAAAAGTTTATTATGGTTGTACCCTTCTAACACATGTAATTATATTTGAGAAATAACCAAACTATTTTCTACCTCATTTTCCTTTAGTTGGTTTTAATCTAGACTGCTTATTGATAACTTAAATCAATTATCTATAYCACAGCTTCTTTGGTTTGAAGGTCTGACTACCAAGTATTCTGCCAATGTGTCTTCCATTACAGGCTATTCTTTTGCACAGAGGTTCTGACCGTGAAGGGCGAAACGGACTTTATTCCTTAAAGATCAATTCTCAACTAGAGGAGGAAAGTAGTTCTTATACTGTTGTTTTTGAGGGTAGAAGTGATGCCAGAAACTTCTGTTATCTATTGGAAACATTTTTTGAAGATCTGGGGGATTTCAGTGCTAATGTTGTTCCATTGTCAATAAAAGTAAATATCTGAACTAGTGAACGTCATATATTTTTATGAATTCATTGTGATTGTGCAGATCATACCATTGTTCACTCATTAAAATTTACCTGATTCATTTTCTAGTCATTCCAATGATAGATTTGTCAGCAAATATAATTCATTGGAATATGGTTTGATGTTAGAAGTTTGGATCTGTTTCAGGAACTCAAGGAGGCAGTAGAATCAAGAACAATGAAAGTAATTTTTGTGAGGAAAGGGCAGCTTCAGCTCTATGCTGGGCAACCACTAGCTGATGTTGAGATGGCTTTGCGCTCCATTATAGAGTGATACTCAAATGCCAAATGCACCTGAAGGGGGAAGAAGATCAGGTAAGAATACATATGAAAACAAAGTTTCCCCTTCATGTTTGGTGGGTCTGAATGAAAGTAGACTTGGACACATTTTTCGTGGTTCAAGACATGCTTGCTCCATTGATGCAGTTGTTCTGGTGAGAATAGTTTTTGCTGCATTGGTAAATGATAAGACATCCCCAAGCACTTACCTGATTTCAGATGGATCCTTCTACAAAGTCTGAAGTTCCATGAACTTTAAACCATCGGAAGTATTGCGCAGATCTGGAGGTTGAAAATTTCTCTCAAAGGTATACCTTGATGTCTGAATGGGTGAGCCTGGATATGCTTGCTTCTCAGATAACTGTTAAACGTACATGAACTTCACTTTGTATTTCTATACTCTATACTAGCATTCTTTTTACCTTGAAGTTGCAAGTCTCACTATTGCTGATACCAAATACTGTCAAATTTGCCTTCCAATTGATGGAAAAATCAGGTCAATGAAAGAAGCTTGATCTTCTCATGTAGAGTTCATCTCATATTGGAATTGGTGGGAATAGATGTGATTAGGGCGAAAGAGTACAAATACAAATATGTATAGTGCAAATACATACAAAATAATACAAAATATGAGGTTTTGCACTCTACATATTTGTATTTGTACTTGTTCCAAATTGAGCCTAAAGAAAATCTCGGTGGTGTTTATCATTTAGGCTGCATTTGGTTGCAGTATGCAAATTTTGGTTTAACTTTGTTTTGGATTTTACTTTATTCTGCATCATGTCTTAATTTACTTCATTTGTACTGCAATCAAACAAAATAATCTAAAACTTGAAAGAAAAATAGGTTAGAATTTGCACTCAAATCATTTGCATTGGCATAGTTTTGCATCAGTACAAATTTGTTTGCATTGTAACCAAACACAACCTTAGATTTTTTTTTTGGAAAGAGTACAAATACAAATATGTACTCCTTCCAAACTGAGCCTAAAGAAAATGTCATTGGTGTCTATCCTTTAGGCTGTGTTTGTACAGTACAAATAAAGTAAAATCCAAAATGTGTTCATGCTTTGATATGATTTTTTTTGTAAGACGGAAAGGTGCTACACAAGGGTAGGATGACCCAACATGAGGGTCACCCTTACATATACAATCTAAAGAAATTGGCGTATCATAAATATTAAGCTAAAAAGTTGGTGTGCAACATGAGGAATTTTCAGGAAGTCATTCATCTTAGTATTATTCTCGCCCAAGTACATTTAACTTCAGAATTCTGATGAGATTTAGTGCATTAGTACTAGTATGATTTATCATTATATTTTTTAAATAAAATCTGAAATTATCTTGTTTTTAATTAAAACACAAATTAAGAATATATTTGTTTTGTATCAATACAATGATTTGAAAAGCAAATGAAAACAAAAACATTTCTATTTGTACAACATGATTTAATTTAACTAAGGTTCAAACTGTCAATACAATGCACCCGTATTAGGCATAATAATCGTATTRTATCTTTGGATTCTTGATACACCTTTTTACGAGATTTAAAGCCATATTGTAGTATATCTTTGGGTCCCTGATACTTTTGGTTCGATCATTTTGCCTTGTAGTGATCGGTGATCACATCAAATCACATACATGCCTAACTAAAACCATTGGTGTTCCCTTGGACTTGACAAATGATCTCTTCTGCCCTTAAGACCCTCTGCCATGTTAAGCATAAAATTAAGATAAGAGAATTAGAAATGACAAGTGTCTTACTCCTGTTAAGCATAGAATTAAGATAAGAGAATTAGAAATGACAAGTGTCTTACACCGCATTTAGTGGTCACATGCAAGTTTGCAATTAATACTATTATTGTGATAATAAATAATTATTAATAAAGGGAAATGGGACTCAGAACCATTGTTCATCATTCATCGTACCCAATACTTGTACTTCCACCAAATCCTGATTGGCCAAGGCTTGTACTACCTCCGATCGATTAGGGATCCTTCAACCCTATACCATGCAATTCATTAAATTTAAATTTAATTATCATATATTATATATATTTAATATTTATTTTCATTGATCCACTCTGACAAGGAATTGCATTGTGTCCTTTCTTTTCTTCTTTATTAATGTAAAACATGTGAAATAGAAGGTGAAGATAATAAACTACTATTATATTATCAAATTTAAGTTTTATATGACTTATATCAAATCAAGTCAAAGATCAGCTTTATATATAAMTATTTTATTTTTGGTGAGAATTCTATTATTGACGATTTATCATAAATTTTTTATCAATATAAAATAGACTAGAAGAAGTAGATGATGACACGCCCGGATCACTGAAAGCAAAACTGAGCATGAAATTTAGTAAATATCTCCAATATATGTGTTTTAAACTCACAGGGAGATGATTCCAATTTTCAGTTGGATGCCCATACTTACAGTGGCTCAATTGATAAGATCTATATCTCGTTGTAGCAGAAACATGGATGAAAACTGCTGTAACGTAGCCCTAGAAGACAAAAAAGAATAAAGGAAAATTAATAATTTTTAATAATCCATGAATGATGAGGGTGAATAAACTATTCTCCATTCGCCTGGTGGTGACGCTGAGTTCAATTATTAGAGCACATACACACACGAATTGAAGCAGTACTTCAATTGATTAATAGACATCGACTTAGGACAACATCTGCACTTCTTCCTCGTGTTCATACGGGTGTAGTTAATGGGAAAAACTGACAAGGCAAACCTTCCATCAGAAATAACGTATGGGACTCTGGCTCTTGATTTGGCTATGTGGTGTCAGTAAGCCAATTCTAATATTATTGTAGCAGTTTAGGTAAAGCAATGATGCGGGAAAGATATGGTATGCAAAGAGTTTTTATCAATCAAAATCTATTTATGAATTTTGATTAAAAAAAATCCTTATTTGCTACTACGTTTATGATTCCACTTTATTCATCAGTTGGTTTTCAGATATTATATCTTTTCTATATCATAGTGCACCCAATTTCAAATTCTAATATTAATTATATACATCAAAACAGAATTGATATACATATAGAAGATTTTGGTCTACGTCAGCAATTCAACAATTTTGGCTAGAGGTGTAAATCGAGGGTGATGGGTCGGCACGACAACTTTTTGGGCTACCCATGCTTTAGAGGATTGTGTCATGCCGGCCTGCAGGCCTACGTGGGCCGTGCCTACCTTCTCTGGGATCCTTAACAGGTCAGTCCCGATACGAACAATGGCATGAGAACAGGCAAGGCCGGGCCTTGGGCTAGGCCATGAGAGGTATATTTAAAAAAAAAATGAAAATTTTAAAATAAAGTAATAAAATAGGCAAAAAATTGAAAAAAATCTTCCAGTTTTATTTTATATGAATTTTGATGTATACAATTATTTATATATGGCATAATAAAATGAAACAAAAAAAATGGAATAAAATAGTATAATAAAATTGGAAATAAAAATTATATATACTAATATATTATATATTATATAATTATTATATACATATATATGTATATGATTATATAATTATGTAAGTATATAACTATAATTATATATAGGGGTCGTGCCTGAAAATCCAAGCCCAACATGGCCCAAGGGTATGGGTCGGGCTAAGGCACAGCCCACATGCTACAAAAACGGGATGGGCCCAGCATGGTCCAGCTTACATCTCTAATTTTGGCCTATGTCAACAGTTCAACTATTCAAAAATATGAAAATAAATACATACAAAAGTAAAAAAAGGAAGAACAGAATAATTGGCTATATCTATATGGATTTAATTGGCCCGAGCTGGATTGGGTACAACTACATCTAAATTCAATATATTGGTCTTAGATCAAATTTGGATTTAATCCAAATCCACGTTATTGTGTGTAAAATAAAGAATATTTTTTAAAAGTTATACAAATTTTAATTAGTTTTTAACTTATATAACAAATTTATATATATATATATATATTGATTTATTAATTATAAAATTCAGGTAAATATATATGTTATTTATATACATCTCTTATATATATACATATAAAGTTGATCGTGTCTATGGCTTTATATATTCATCAATCATCATATTAGACAAAAATATACGAGTAAATGATGATTTTGCTATTAATGATGGAAATGGCTAAGAGTTCAAAAAAATAAAGAGAGAGAGAGAGAAATACAAAAAAGGACATAGTGTCTATCCTATGACCCATGGATTGGGTCAAAAGGTTTTCATAGTTCAACTAGATGGATCATTAGGTCATTAGCTAAATTCATTTTTTAAGAATCATTAACATCATTCATGCCTTATCCCAACTATATGGGGTCAGATACATGAATCCTGCTTTACCACTCCATTCTATTTAAAACCGTATCTATTGTTAAATTATTAATACTTAAATCATTTTTTACTACGTCTATTCATATTTTTTTTTTTTGTCTACCCCTAGTTCTTTGAATCATTTTCACGTATAACAAATTACTTCTTCTAATCAGAATTGATTTTATGCCAAACCATCTTAACCTACTCTCTCATTTTATGATGGATTGAAGCTATTCCTTACCTTTATATGTGTTCATCTTTTGTCATTAATTGATGTGGGAAATACATTATCATTCATGCATGCATGATGTCTAAACTTATTTTAAATTTAAGAGAAAACTATAAATTAAATTATTAATTAGAGACTAATCACAAGGCTCCTTCGTCAATTTCATTTCACAAAAGAAAACATGTGTCTCAACTAAGTAATAATAAAATCATAAAAACAGTACTTCAATAATTAAATAGATATTGACCTAGGATGACATTTGCATTTCTTTTCTCGTGTTCACACTAGTGCAGTTAAGAACACTGAAAAGGTAAACATTTCAACTAAGACAAAGAACCACCAACGACGTATGAGACTAGCTCTTGATATGGACTGTGGGGTCCCGTAAACAATTACCATTCCATCAAAAGTCATCCCTCATTTTGCCTATATCCATTTTAGGGTAAATTTCTTAAATTATTCTTATGGTTTAATTAATTTACTAAGTGTACTCTTATTATTGAAAATTCACTAACACCCATAACACCCATACTGTTTTTGACAATTGACTAATATTTTCTTTATTGTTAACATCTATTAATATTCGTCAACAAAAAGATAAAAAGACTATTTTACTCATTATTTTTCAAATTTTTGCCTCTGCATTGCTCACCAGATAGCTAAGGCCTGAGAGATTTTCATCGGTGAAGGTCTCGTATCGTCGTCACATAAGAACCATTGGATCGGAATTTTATACAATGAAGTTGCGGTCCATCCATTCATCCAATTGACAATTCGTAATTCGCTGCACTTTGTGCAATTCCATTCACTCTGTATTTCTTAGTTGTGGTTTCATGGCGGTGAGTTATGCAGACAGTGTTGGCAGGTTGCAATGTGGTCGATGGGTTGAATGGAAATAAGAAAAACTAAAGCACTTGTTCATATGGATTATAAGATGGGTAGTTGGGCCACAGCCACCAGAGAAAGAC